ACAGAGAGATCCTCTCACAAGCCGAGCGGGAGAAGATTGGAGCTCCCTCCACGTAGCTTGGGCAGGGATATTGGTGTGCTGGAAAGGTTTGACAACCATGGTTTCGTGGGTAACATATTTTATATAGTATAATATGACATAATACTCACGCAGCAAATTCGCCACGCTTATCTCAATCACTTCCAGACTGGCTGTCTTTTTTGCTCGAAATATGAGACTACTTGCTTTCGTTGTTGGGCTATGTTTGCCTCTAAATTGGCACGTTGGCCGACTGAGAATAGCAGCTGACTTATACTCGCAAAAGACCACCACAACTTGTTCAGATGCAGGGATACTTGTGTTCCAGTCTCAGGGATCAGGGAGAGCCAATCCAGCACTTGGTGCAGAATATCTTGCACATGTTTCTTTGTTCTGTGCACCATTGCACAGGTGTTTTGGTATGGCACAGTTGATTACAGTATCACTAATTGTTTTGCACAGTATGACGTGAGTAATTTTGTGTTTTGATATCACTTAGGAGTGGTCTGGCCATTATTTTCCTGCCTGCTAGGTCTTTGCTTGGGGACCTTCGGCAGGCATGTCCGCATGAAAGAGCTGCTCAAGCCACATCGCTGGCTAGACACGCTGTTTCCTATTCTTGCAGAATTCATAGACTTGATGGGTGCACGCTGCGCAGCAACATTCTGCAGTCATTTGGGAGCAGTATGAAACACACCTGTAGTCATTTGTGCATGAAGAGTTCCCTCGTGGACAACTACATATATACTAAGCTCGACTGATGAAGCATTACGCGTTGTGCAGTGTGACTGACCACTTTCTCAGGTAGCTCAATATTTGGGCCAGGGCCGAGACGCCGAGCTGCTCAGAAGAGCCTTTGTTCATGCGCACAAAGTGTGCTGCCTTGGCAGGGTTGGGCAGATTTCCACGTCTCAAGCCCATCCAGAGATGTGCCACGAAGCACCTAGCAGAGATAAGTGATCTTGGAAAGCATGCATTTGGTTGATCATATATGCTGTCCACGGGGCCCCGGCCATGCTCATTGGATACCAGTGTCATGGGCATGTGACGTGTGAGTGTCCGTTTGCGAAGCAAAGGAGTAAAGGAGCCGAGGTCTTGTCGTTCACTGAATGAGGTCATGTCTACGGCTACCTTCACTGAGGTGGGCGCAGAGCTTTGGTTCATTGAAAGACCTAAAGTTCCAAAAGAAGGCAATGACACTAAATCATTGCGTTCTAGGACATCCTTATGGTTTGGGATGCACTGAGTGTGTTCTTGAGTAAGGGAGTGCTTTCTCAGCCTGGCAGCTGTGTCTTTGGATTATTTTTGGACTGGTAAATTATAGAAGTGCGAGTCCGCTGCATACATCGTCAGAAAGAACACTGACATGCCTGACATGCCTCAGCGCCTTTCACCAATACACATTCAATTGCGTTTGCTTTGCAACTGCTTTCTAGCATTGGCAACAGAATCATTTTCGTTTGAAGTATATATGATATATATATATATATTAATAATTATATATATGATATATTGCATGCGTTTCGAAAGCGCTAGCTTCTGTCAAGGCCAGCAGCGGAGTTCTATCCTCTTTGGTTGGTCTGGTAGGCGGGCCACATGGCCGTGCGTTCCGGTGCAGACAAGGGTGCGTTCCATTGGTTTACTCTTTGTTAGAGTCTGTGCTGTCTACAGCATGTTATATTTGCAGTGATCGCCCACGTAATTGCTAAGGTCGACGTCTTCTCTGGTCACAGTGACAGATTTTCGGACTATATGACTGATGTGAGATCAAGTGAGTATCTAAGACGAACATGATAGGTCTTGAAATCTTCCGGAGATTTAACAGAGGATGTTTACTTTGGTTGTTGACTCCAAATGTATTTTTCATACTTGGTCCCTGGAGGCTTGGGCTTTTCCTACCAGTTGCAGACGGGCGTGCCGGCTTCTTGGCTGCACCCCCCCTGCAATCAACCAATCTATTCACGTCCATCGTGACGGAGACCGCCTGCACCAAAAGCTTTTTCACATGAGGCACTAATTTGAGAGATGTTGCAAGTTGCCACCATTCACCAATCAATCCATGATTCAAGACATCCACCTAGCTACAGGAACTCAAAGTCTATCCAGTCTACACGGCTTTCGCACCCACTGGTGTACAGTGCAACACCCAGTGGTCCATCCCTACAATCGATATATCATCACAGAAGTGCCCCAACGTAGGCACTTGATTAGAACTCCTAAAGACAACGATGATGCAAGATGTGCGTCCTGACATGTGCAACATCTTCTTGCATCACCAAGAATACAACTACGTATGAAAACCGGCACGTGTTAAGTCTATAGCAAGCAGTACTGCCGTACTCATCATCAACTGCTCATCCTCATCCATGGTGGTGGATTTCTGCTCTTTCTCCTGTGGGTGGGGCTGAATGTGGTTCCATTTGTTCTATGTGCAGAAACACAGACAGACGTGGACTTCGTGTGAAAGCCAATCTGGATGGTGGTTGCAGGTATCTTTTTGTATTTTTATTTTCAACCTTTACTTGAGATTATTGATCCCTCTTTCAAGTGAGGTGAAACCACCAAGCAGCAATTAATGTTGTTTCGCATTAGCATAAGCTCGCGTATGTGGAATTTGGAATTAGGAACTCATATTCAAAGCCTTGGGACCTTGAAAGACTAGGTTCCTAACACACGAAACAACAACAGCCATGTCGTATGCAAGACCAGCGCAGCGCAAGTAAAGCAATAGCCTTGGAAACCGAAACGACCACTGGGCTTATAGGGATACTGCATGATCTAAAATGATCTAAATAATCCTTTTGTGCTGTTATAGTTCCCAGAAGCCAAGGATGTGGCTGCCTCCATCGTCATGGCGTCTATCGTATCTTGCCCGCATCGATTGAAGTGGTGCAGATCACGGCGGTGTCGTGGTGCAGATCACGGTGGTGTCACAGTCGTCCTTGTTTTCTGAGGTTAGCTGCGTGAGTGCCTTCTTGCTTGGAAAGAGTCCGCTGCTCACTGATTCGTTTGGCCCGCATGTCAGCCGTCGGCCTGTGCAAATCTGGTAGGAAGCCCGGTGCTTGCATATTGATATTGAATCATATTGAGGTGTCCTGTCTAGTGGTTCTGCGCTTTCAGAGTGGGCCAAATATTGGGAACATTGCCTTTTGGCTTTGGCAACGTCCTGTAGCAGGAACTGCAATCATGTTTGTGTTTAACTGCTGGTCCATTTGTTCAAATTCACAATGTGGCGCTTGCTTCACTCTCAACATCTCCGAAAAAGCTCAGGTGGGAATGCCTTGCTGGGGCAGACCTTACCCCATTGGCGCGTGAAGGCTGTTTGGTGGATGGGATATTTGGCATTGAACGTTGGAAAACCTGAAAGCGTTTGCAAGGAGTGCATACTCAGCTGCAATCGATGGCCATAGCCTGGAGCATGACATAGTTATATAGTTTCTCACCTTTGCCCAGGAAAAGTTCCCTCACTGGACTTTGAGAATCTATGTACAGTAATGGTGTTCACACATTCACACGTGTTCAATGCCGATTCAATGCGTAAGGGACTCTAGGATAGACTTGGCTCCCCAAGATCTCTGAGCGGATTCCAGTGCCTGACCTGCAGTCCCTGATCGAGACCCTTGAGTCTCACGCTGCTGTAGGGATCTCAGGGTGAGCCTTTAGTTGAGCAGCGTGAGCACCTTAAACTTGCAACTTCTAACGAATTTCCAAATCGTTTCCATGAACCGTATACTGGTCAGCTCTGTGCAATCGTTTTGCTAGAACTTCTTCTTTACACCAGCTATGCATTGAAGTCGTGTTGCCAGGTTGTGCCAGGTTTAAGTTGACAATGCAATTCATTCCATCAGCAGCTCAACGCTGTTTCATCGCAAGGGTTGGTTGGACAGTCCAGCACAAGCCCTTAAACGGAGCCGCCAGTCTCAGAGTAGTGGGTGACATGTCAAGGAGATTCAAAGAGAGTATCCATGGAACATGCAAGCGGGAGTGCAGCCTGGAGTCCATATTCGCTCTTGAAATAGAAGGAGACATTGCAGCATCAGGTAGGACATGCTGACTTCATGTGCTTCAAGTGAAGCTTTTTCTTGGATCTACGTAAGAGGTGGAAAGTAGGCGATCTGCTTCATAAGCGATCTGCCTCGAATTATGTCGAATTTATTTCATGGCGATCTGCTTGCGGAGCAGTGGCGAAGCTGCGGACTCGTCAGGCAGTTCCAGTTTGTGGGCAGTGGAAATCGACGAACCATTGGATCAAGAAGCCGATCTAAGTGACACAAAACAGACACGGGATGATATGAATGTCTTTAGAATAGGGAGAACCCTCAAAGACCATCTGGAGAGCCAAAGCCAATGGGTTGGGGAACACACCTTGCTGACTGTTTGAGCGAAGCGCCTCCCAAAACCGACCCCTTACTTTTCTGTTACGGTGGATACTTGGAGAATCTTGGAGAGCTGAAACTGAAGCGGTGAGTGGATAGCCAAAAGCGCTGTACACAACATGTTCCAACTGGATTGGGACACATTGGACATATGTGACATTCACATCTGATTGCCACACTGAGAAGAGAAGGATGACCTATATACTTACACACCCATCTTCTTCATCTCTTGCTTCTGTGTCACGTCAGTCCCCGGTATCACGTCGGATGCTTCAGGCTGCGGTGCACTGTGAGATCCTTGGGTGTTGAGCTGCAAGCTTTGGTGCGACTGTAAGCGGTTTGAGCTGGACTGGACTTGACTTCTGTGCTTTCTGGGGTTCGAAGGCAAAATGACGACAGATGCCTAATGGTGCTTGCCACAAGGTTCTGATAGAACAGGAGAATGACTTGATGCGTGAAGGGCTCGGCGGGGTAAATGCAAAGCTATTTAGCATTACTTAGCTCTATTGTTATACCGACCAAATCAATCTTTGATTTGATTTGATGTTTTACTGCATCATCGACAAGTTGTCGGTCGTTGTCCCAACATAACTTTGCTGGATCATATCGGGACTGATTCAGCTCACACATGGATAATTACTTTACCAAGCTGTTTACGAAGACATCACCGCAATCAAATCCAGACTGAATTCAGTGCTTGACACAACTCGGCAGCAGAGTGTTGGCTCGAATGATAGCTTTCACGTTGGGCTTTGTGAAATGGGAGTATGCAGCAGCAAGAGCAAAGGTGACCCTCCACCGTTCGTGACCAAACATGAACAGTGCCTTGGCCTTTTAAGTTTGGGAGACCACAAACTCCATCCGAGTTTATTGTATGTGGCTTGACTTGTTAAAATCGCAACCAGAACAGCACCGATCCCACTTGCTACCTACCAGTTCTTGTGCTGGTTCACTGATTCATCAATTGCAGAATGCCATGAACATCCCGATCATTCAGCGCTTCGAATCTCATATCTTCAACCATTTCGGGTATATGCCTAGTGCCGCTTGTCATGAGAACAAGCATAAGAGAAGTTCTGAGCACTACAGTAGATGGACAACATGTTTAATCCCCTGAGTCAGAGAGCAGTCACGAACCCCTTGCCCCCAAAGTTCAATGTTGAAAGCAACTTCTTTCAATTTGCGTTAGGGTTTGATTCGTTTCGTTCATTCGCCAACACACTCTGGCAGGCTTGCTAATATTGGGCCAACAAAAACTTTTTCTGATAAGTTTCCTTGAAAGAATTGTACAAGCACAGACCCCAAACAGGTTAGTCCGTAAGAATTGTTGTTCCCTGCCTCGCACAGCAGTTTAAAAGAGCACGACAGCAGGAGAAAATGAGGACAACAGAGGACAAAAAGATGAAGGACAAGAGGAGGATAAGAGGAGGACACAGGGTTGTCCAGCGCGGCCAAAGGACAAAAACAGGACAAGAGGAGGACACAGGGTTGGCCAGCACGGCCAGAGGACAACAGCAGGACAAGAGGAGGACAAGGGGAGGACACAGGGTTGGCCAGTGCGGCCAAAGGACAACAGGACAAGAGGAGGACACAGGGTTGGCCAGCGCGGCCAGAGGACAACAGCAGGACAAGAGAGGTGGACTAGAGGAGAGCCCAGACACAGAGCCTGCACACAGAGCTCAGGGGTTTTGGCCAGTCAGTGTGGCCAGCCCCTTTTTCCTAAGAGCAAAGAGCCCCAACAGTAAACTGTTTGAAGAAATAGAGGAAAGGCTTTTGTTAAGGAAAAAGCTAAGCGCATAGCACAGCCGCCTGCAGGTGCATGCAAATTTGAAAAGGCAGTGGAAAAGACATTGAGAAAGCGAAGAGATCGATTCGTGCGACACGGGGAGTTTTCAAACACAGCATTTCGCGGCACGAGTTTCATGGCCACTCAGTCGGAGATGCAGAAGCAGAACATTCCACACCGCACGACAGACACGGAAAACCAAGGAGCTTGCATCTCACAACCCTGCACCCCCAAAGTTCAATGTTGAAGGCAACTTTTTTCAACTTGCGTTTTAGGGTTTGATTTGTTTCGTCCATTCGCCAACACAATCTAGGAGGTTTGCTAACGTTGGGTTTTGGGTTGGAAGGGGTCAAGGTGGTTTGGAGAGATTGAATGCTGTAGCACTCCGAGCACTTCACAACTGAGCCACGTCAAAACCGACTTTAGAGCCTTCTACTCCTGGCCGATTAGACCAGCTCAGTAGGTATTTGTGACTCAGTATATTCCTCCTTCAACCAGTGGGCATGAGGGTTTTCTACAAGGTTTGACTCAAACATCACTCGGTGTGAGGTATGCCAAGATGTGGCTGATGAAGGTCTCTGACTTTCTGGAGTTGCAGGGGACCCTTCCAATGCACCAAGAGCTCCAAAAGCGAGGCCTCCTAGTTTCCAAGCTGCAAGTTCGACTTACAATGCCATTGGCAGGATAAACTGACAGGTATACAAGCATGAACTTGTATGTTTTTCTTCTTGGCACTATCAGGAACTGTTGTGACTGTTGGTGAAAGTAATTGGGCCCAAGCAGCAGGGACTGTGAGAGTTCAAGTTGCGATGGGAGGGTGCATTCGTCTATGGACAGCATCCAAGCCTAAAACCGGTCCTGGAGCCCTGGTTCTTTGGTGTAGAATTGAAGGAACTGAAGGAACGGAAAGGAGGACCGAATTGATTGCAGCATGGGTCGCCTATAGATCCTACATGATCCTATAGTCATAGTTATATATCAAAATCAAAGTTGGCTGGAACAGAGTAGGACCGAGAGGAAGGACTACGCGTGTTCTTTTTCCCTTTGCTGACGGGGTGGAAATTGAAGGGCACATAGAACGACTCACGCGTTGTCCTTATCCTTGTCCTCGCGTTGTTTGGGGTCCACAGAAGTCAGACGTTTGGTGGAAGTTCTGTGAGAGGTGAGAGTCTGGACGTCCACGAAACGAGTCTCCGTGCCTTTGAAACTTGTTTTGACAGGGTTTCCGCCAGTGCTGGCTCACTCCAAGGTTGAATACCAATTGAACTTTTTGGCGGCTTGCCTCCACAGCTAGCTTGTGTCGACTGTGTGTGATTTTGTTCTTGCATGTTAGTCTTGCAGTTTTGCTTTTTGCTTGCTCGCAAGGTCATTTTTGTGTCCCATCAATGGGTTGGGCGCGCACATCCTGACAGATTTGGTGAGCAGCTGAGCGTTCTACAAGGGGCTTTGAAAAACATCATCAACGGTGAAGTGCAGGTGCCAGCCTGTGGGCAGGGTTGTCTTTGTCTCATGACATGACATGAAAGAGCTCGTCACACTTCCAGTGGTTGCAGCGGATGCTGTCAGATCATGAATGATCACGAATAGGGGTTCCTGTGTCTTGTTGTCTGTGCGTTTGTGTTTTCTTTGTTATGATCCGTGACGTTCATTGTTGGTGTCAAGACTCCACCATGCGAAACATGTAAAACCAAAACGATACATGCAGTGCTCATTCTACCAAACATTGTAAAACGATACGGGACGTCCTAACTTTGAAGGAATACAGTTTAAGCAAGTAATTTAGAAACCAACTCATGTAGAGATTCCTCACATATATAAAGCAGAACTTGACGAGAACGGATTAGAACAAATTGAGCATCATTGAGCCAAATCCATTTGGTTGCACTGCAATCGCAGACTGCTCACAGGCATGTTCACAAGGCTTTGTGACACAACAAGTGCTTTTGCGCGTGCCTGCCCAAGGCAAATGGTATTTGTGTTTTTCAACTCATGCACACGCCGTCGTTGCCTCACCCTATCCTGAAAGTGTGCAGCCAGCAACTTCTGTCAATGTTTACTTGGTTAGTGTGGCTTTCTGAGCAAACCATTGAAGATTCTTAGAGGATGTTCCTACAAATCTGATGGCAGGGCCTCTTGAAAATGATGCCACAGTCACAGTAGTTCATGATCCAGCAGAGGCGACCTATTTTGTTCGTCGACTCGCTCTTCTCAATCTCCACAGGTGGAGAATGACCTCATGAGTCAGATGATGTTCAAATTCAGAAGGCTTTCTCCTCAAGAACGAGGAGCGCTGAAGGATGCATACATTTGGATGGATTGGTACAGCATTCCGCACCTTCTCTTGGAAAACAGAAATAATCCAATGGCTCAACTGAGTCCCTAGGACGTCTTACTCACAATGTGTTACTGTACTTAAATGCAAACAACAGTGAGATTCAGCAGCATTGTTACTCAGATGACCGCTTTAGCAAAGACCCTGCCCAACTCATTGAAAATCTCCGACGCTCCAGCCTAGGCAAGGTGGATTTGCGAAAAGTTTGCATGACGAGGGCAACCTGACAGAGACTGCGCATGAAGCATGGCGGTGTATCAACTCCATCCCCTATTACGTGGACTGCAGCGACATTTTTGTTGCCTTGGTTCCTCCGTTGCAGCAACTTGGTTGACACCCTTGTGGGCCTTCAAGTTTGGCCTTACAGGTACAGTGGACTTGACTTGACTGGTGTATTTGCTGTGATTCGTGCATGCTATGACTTGCAGTCGGGAACATTCACGCTTGTTCCCTGGGCCGACAGGCACAACGATACTGGGCTCGAGTGCAACTATCGCTCTTGGCTGTCTCGGGGGTGGTGCAGGACCAGTATCTGACTGCCCTGTGGAGCACATTTCACCAAGTGAAATTTGAAAAGTCTAGTAGCAAGGCCAGGAGCCCCTAGTAGCTTCTTGCTCCTAGTAGCGATGCCCT